CTGCCTCGGGCCTCATTGATCCCTTCTTGTTCCTCTGTCAGCTCCTGTAGCTCCGGGGCTGCCATGTCTTACTGCTCTCATTCTTCCTCACCTGTATTCCCACCCATCACCAAGGCCGCTATGATCCCGCACGCAGTCAGAAACACCTGCCGGTCCACCTCCACCCTGGCCTTGGCCTTCGCTGCTTGGACTTCCGCATTTCCAGAATGCCCTGCGACCTTCCCATTTCTCCTTGTAGCTCAGCACTGCCAGGAGGAACATCAAAGCCAGGGCCAGGGGGGAGCACTTCAAATCAGAGTCAGGTTTGATCAATAGATGGATCGCAGGGAAGATATTACCATCATGCCTTGCACCGAGGGTGGAGATATTTCCTGTGCTCCCTTGGGTACGTAGAGGCCTGAAGTCTTACAACTTGTTGATTTTCCTCCATAAACTAGTTCTCTTTGCCACTCAAGGGAGTGCTTTACGACAACATCATCAGAGTTTGTGGAGAGGCCCAAAGCAAAGAGTACTTAAGCATGTCAGAGTGGGCCCCGGAAGTGGCCCGTGGAGAGCCATCCAGCGGGCACTTCCGAGGTGGAATGGCCGAGGTGCAGACCCAATTATGTTGTGAGCCGCAGAGCTGGCTACACACCTCCAAGGGCCTGCCGAATCGATGACTGTTAAAAAGTGCTGGCGATTAAGGGAACCCTCCAGGACAAGACATAAGCAATTTGTCACAGGTATTTGGGGGGATATGTGTCTGGGATGAGAGCCTCAGAATGATCATGAAACACATCTTCTCTAAGAAGCCCTCAGGAGGGGCCGTGTGAGTCTGCACATCCCCAGAGCCAGGTTTTAAGATCTGAGTCTTACAAAGATCAACTGTTTTCAATAAGAGAAAGATTTTAGAGTGTTTTCTCAAGAAAATGGAGAGATAACCTGGACTGCTACATTTGTTCAAGGATGGAATTATGGATGCAGGACCTCACTGTCAATTTCCCTCCCAAGTTTTTGCTATGCATACTTATTTCTGTGTTCTTCGAAGAGTCGTACGTGTCTGTTACTAGGGTCTCTCAGCGCCAGCACAGACTCCTTCCTTCCCCTGCTTCCTTCTGGTCTTCTTGCATGGAGCTAGCTTTTTATGGCATGAATGAAATACAAACCAAAGGACTTTGCCGGCACTTTCTTGGGTAGTAAAAGCCATCTGCTCGTTCCTAGTCATGTTTAGTAAATATGAGGACTAAACATGTGGAATCCTGGGAAATCATCGGCGCATCCAATGGCACATACACCTCGGCTTCTCACTTCCCTGGGTCTGCCCTGGGCTGGGCCACAGTGAAGCCAGGGACAAGGGGAAGGAGGCCGACTGAGTTTGTCTTTGCCACCTTCCTCTTCACCTGAGCCTGCAGGATGGAGGTGAAGGATTGGGCATCCCGTAGCCCTGCCTGGCTGTGACTCTGGGGCTGGCAGTGCTCAGGGCAGCTCGACCCCATGCAGGCTGCCCAGACACACCCTGCCTGTGCTGCTCCTTGGATGCAGGCCTGTGCGTTTCTCTGGCCAGCCCTGTCCCCTGGAGGCCGGCAGCCCCCTGTGCTCTACCCCCGCTGGCCCTGCTGATCTCGCTGGGACAGAACCTCTCAGGCTGTGCGTGTACTTTGCTCATGCGTTGAGTTGTGCAGGCATGAAGGAGCAAGGATGTCCTCTGCTGACATCGCTGCCTGCCGCACTGCTGTGTTTCAACACAAGACGGTGTTGCTCAAGCCTTTCTGATGTTTAGGGAGTCTCCCTCGGCACGGATCATGACTGTGGACGCAAGTGGCGTTCAAGTGGATTTCCTCAGTACAAGGCGTACGGCATAGAAGATGAGAAATGGAGGGAAGGGCACCTGTGATTCCAAGAGGAAAATCTCACTCCCAGGACCTCTGGCCCAGGGAGCCACGCTCATCTCTTTGCTCCATGTTTTCAATCAGTGCTTCAGCTTCTGCTGTGCGCTGCCTGGTGTCCTAAGCCATTCCCCATTTCTAATCTCCACTGTGATGGAGAGGTGGCCTGCTGATCCCGGTCTGTGAAGGGAGTGCAGAGAAGCGACCGGGGATGGGATCGCCCAGCGTGGACGCGGCCCAGTGTCTGGCTTCACCTGTACCTGACCAGGAGCAAGCTTTGGGGAGTACAGGGTTCTGGAAACCTTGGTGCTGGCCAGTGGCTCTGCCTGCAACCCATAACCTTTCCATTTCTTTGACTTTGGTGTGCTGATTCAGATGTGGTTATCTAGTTTGGTGGAAAGGTGGCAGTTTCTCCCAAGGACAGTCTTCACCTCCGGTCCCCAGCCTCCCCTCCCCTGCCTCCCCTCCCCTGCCTCGCCCTTCATTTCCCCTTTCCTTTTCTTCTTGTACTGGGAATGCAGCCCAGAGCCTACATTGCTGACAAACACTCTTCCACTGAGCTGTTTCCCAGCCCTGCTTGGGACCAGGCTTGGAAGGGACCCACAGACCGTGTGGCCAGGCCAGCACTCTTGGTGGTGCTCAACGCTGTCTCAGAGCTCTGTGGCAGCACCTCGGCTCTCTATGGTAGGTAGAGTATGGGGAGGAGGCCAGGCCCTGGACCCTCATAGAGATGCAGTAATGAGCGGAAGCCAGGTTGTCAGAGATGTGTTCCTGGTTGCTGGCCAGCAGGTAGGGCTGAGGACAGCCACTCCTGCATTGGGGGGGGGGGAGCCTGAGGGCCAGGGCCCTCTTCAGAAACACTGTGGCTGACAGGCGTCTTGCTGTGGTTATTAGGGCCTCTGGCTCCTGGTGCCTTCACCTTCAGATGGAGTCCAGGGGCTCGGGCTGGCTGGGATACGCGGCCTTGGAGAACAGGACCAGTGCACATCCAGTGCTGCCCAGAGCTGCTGTTCACATTGGTAACAGCACACTGGAGAGAGGGGCTCCATTCCCAACTGCTCAGCAGAGGGAAGTTTGGTACTCATCTGCTCCGAGCACAGCCTTCCGGATGCCCAGGGGCATCACGGCCACCCACAGCGGGTCCAGGCCTACACTGCTCCTCTCACAAACCTGTAGGGTCGGGGGCAGAGGGCATGGAGCAGACACTGGGTTGAGAAGATGTGATGGGGAGAAAAGGACGGGTTTGGCCTCCCAGCTTGGTCCCTTCCCTCCTCTCCCCACGTGCAATGATGGATGGGAAGTCGCCAGGCACCTCCCCTGTGTGCCCGTGTTGGTATGTGTGCGCGTGTATATGCAGATGTGTGCAACATGTATGCAGATGTGTGTGCATGTGTTGGTGTATATGTTTACATGCAGATGTGTGTGCATGTGGTGGCAGATATGCTTGTGTGTATGCAGGTGTGTGTGCATGTGGTGGAAGGTATGCACACGTGTATGTAGATATGTGTGCATGTGTTGGCAAGTGTGCACATGTTTATGCAGGTGGGTGTTCCCATGTTGGCTGGGGTGCACATTTGTATGCAGATATATGTGTACACGTTGGCATGTGTGCAGTATGTATACAGATGTGTATGCAGATGTGTGTATATGTGTTGGCAGGCATGCATATGTGTATGAAGATGGGTATGCATGTATTGGCATGTGTGCGTGGATATGCAGATGTATATGCACATGTTATCTGGTGTGCACATGTATATGCTGGTGTGCGTGCACATGCGTATACAGGTGGGTGTGCATGCATTGGCAGGGTGCACATGTGTATGCAGGTGTGTGTGTACATGTTGGCTGGTGTGCACACTGGTACACAGATGTGTGCTGTGCTCCGGTGGAGCATCTGTCTCCACTCTCCCTTCTGCAGCCCTACCCAGCTGTGCTGGATTCCTGGATCTTCCGGCTGGCCCAGGAGTTTTCTGCTTGCAAAGAAAGTATCCTGCCACTCAAACCCACGGGACACCTGCCCGGGCTTTCCCTTACCACTTATCTGTTAGGTTGGCATGTGGCTAGAGGCTTGGATTGTTCTTTCCATTCTTGGTATTAAAACAGTGATCAATCTTGCTGTCTTCCACTGAAACTGGTTGCTAAATCACAATTTTGAGGGCTAGACAGTTTTGAAAAGAAATGGAAACTTGAACTTGATTTTCATCTTTGGAATCCTACATTTGGCCTTTTCTCCCTCCCCTTACAATGCTTCTGTGTTTTCTGGCTCATGGAAAAGCCGGCACCCGTTTGGTGATAGGCCATTGATAACCGAGGCCTGACCAGCCTGGTGCCATCTTGCCCCAGCCCCAGGGGTCCTTGGGCTCCTCACAGCCTCCAGCTGTCACAGGCTCAGTCAGGCCACATCTGTGGTCACATGTTGCTCTCTTTTCTCCCTGGGAAAGGTCTGGGTCCTATCCACTCACAACCCACGTGGCCTGAGCACAGAGTGTGGCCACGGGTGGTTTAGATGGTGCTGAGCATACACGCAGCTGGAAGGGGAGGAAGCTGTACAGCAGTGGGAAAGGCCCTGGGATTGGGGGGAGGCCTGGGAATGAGAGAGAGCAGCTGATCCCCCATGTGGCCCGGGATGGCAGGTCTGCTTGGGCCTGCCTGGGCTGTGAGCACCATCAGCAGTATGAGGCTGGTCACTGCTGGGAGCATCCTCAGCCCCATCACAGTAAGACTGTCCCCCTGGGTGGCCCACATTGTCGGGAGATGGCTAAGCCCAGACTTCTCCCTACCTGCGTGCTGCCTGAGCCTCACCACCCAGGCTGTGGGCTACAGAAGAGAACCAGCCCACGCCTTGGAGGACGGGGCAGCAGCGGTCACCGCAAGCCATGGGCCTGGACGCTAGGGTGGGCAGAGAGCTGTGATAGGAAGCACCCCCAGGTGGCCCAGGCCTCCTGCACTCCACGTCCCAGCCCTCGACAGGCCTGGGGCTGGGCTGTGATGGAAGGCCACACCTGTGCGGCCTTCCCCCCAGAAGTGTTTGTCACCAGTTTGAATGCCCAGAGCCACATTTTATCTTTGCTGAAGTTTTCAGATGATGACTGATGTGATCAATGGAATTTCAATGACAATTCTTTTATCCAACAGATAAAAGCACAGAGTGCCGTGGAGCCCCCCGCCCCCCAGCCTTGATGCTGCCTGCTGCGGAGAGAAAGAGCCGGGCTGGAGACGAAGAGGACAAGGTAGGGCCCTGCACTGTGTAGGACCTAGGGCCGGGACACCCCTTCACTGTGTTCTGCGTGGCTTCGCGGAATGGCTCTGCAGCCTGTCCCTGTGAGTTCCAGAACCCAGGGTAGAAGAGGGCCTGGTAGGGTGCCACAGAACATTCCAGAAGGTGGCCCCTGTCCTGGCCATCTTGGCTCTGAGCCCACAGACAGCATTCTGTGGACAGTGAGGCTGGCCGTACGTTTACGTCTATTCTGACTGCTTTCCAAATGAAGAGAGCACAGTTTATATTTAGGCTTGACTGTTCAGGGAAGCCCAGGGCACTTCAGGCCTGTTTAAACATTCTAATTTTATTATTTTTTTTCTTTTTGCTTATGTGGTGCTGAGGAATCGAACCCAGGGCCTCATGCATGCAAGGCGAGCGCTTTACCACTGAGCCACCTTCCCAAACCAAAACATTCTACTTTTAGGCCATTCTCTTTGCCCATTTGCCAAGAAGCCCTGTAAGGACTGAGAAGGACGGTCTATCTGCTTGGTACAGTTAGGGTTCCCTACGCACCTCCTTCCTCTGGGAGAAGACCCAGGCTGTCGACCTGTGCTGCCGTGTGGCGGTCATGGGGGCACGCAGCCTGCCCTCCCCTGCCAGGGGTCCTGGAACCCTGGAACCCCTGTGACCTCTGGTCTCACTCACATCGCCTCAGCATCGCGCTGCCTTACCTTCACAGGGACTTCTGTCCCCCGGCACGGGCCGGGCACGGGGGTTCCATCCTCCTGCTCACACTCTCCAGCGGCCTTACCTCAGGAGGGAATCACCCCAGCTCACTCCTCCACCCATGTCCATGGCCTGGGCTGAGTTGTGAATGCCCATCGCCCTGTGGGCTGATGCAGTGTTTGCCTGTGACATATGACTTCCTATAGAAATTAGCACCTAAGCCAGAATGACATATTAATTACACAGATAGCCTTGCTAGCGCCTTCATAAATACTTGCTTTATCACTGGGTTCTGCAAGTTGACTTCGCTTTTATTACTCGAGTATGGAACAGAAGTTTTATACCATGATTAGCCAATTTTATCACCAACAGGAAATCACAACCAGCATGAGCCTCATGAAGAAGACCTCGGTAATTAGTCAGAGAGAATCCTGCCATTGCCACATTCGTTCGACCCCAGCACAAGTTATTCCTGCCATACTTACTTGAATAATTTAGCAGAGGTAATCTCCTACTCAGAGGCTCCGTGTTGAGTTCTATTGTTCAATTAACTCCATAATGAAAATCCCCTCCAGTTTCCCTAATTGGATTAGTAATATAAACTCTGGTCTTAATACATATATATTGAGACGAGTGTTTCCGAAAACTCCCTGTTAAGCTCATTATTTATCCTGACCTTATTTTCTCACAGGAAACAAAGATAGAAAATTCTTAAAACAAAAGCACCCAAAATGCTTTCCCTTCTTGGAGGGCTCGGAGGAGCCCCCAGAGAGACGCTGAGGTGAGCACACGGGCGTGTGGGCTCTGGATCGCGCAGAAACTAGCCAGGGATGCTGCGGCTGCGCCCCATCTCCAAGCACCCCGCCCTCCCCTCCCGCTGGGCTCCTTCCGGGCCAGCCGTACTCTTGGTGACAGGCAGACCAGAGGCAGCGTCACCTTACCACCTTGCCATCGACAGTTTGTCAGACAGACCCTTGGCCGATTTAATTCCTTAGGATTTGTTTAACTCTTGGCTCTTAGAGAGTGACTTGGAATTCTTTTTGCTCCTTGTTCAAACTTCATGCTTCAGTGCTTCTGTAGTTTAACATCTTCCTTTTTAACTCTGGAAGTGACAGTGAAAATGAGCCCTGTCTGCAGCGTAGCCCTGCCTGGCCCCTGGCTGCCTCTTCCACTTCCGTTTCCCTAGTGGCCAAGCCTGTGCTCTGGACCTCCAGGGCACGGCCTGGAGCACAGGCTGTGTTTAGATTTGGTTGGCTGAATGGTGGATCATTTTCTCAGCTACACTGTCTCAAAGAACACCAATATTAATGATGGCAGAAGAGCTCCTGAAATTTAGGATGACATTTATTTTTAAAGATCTCAGCTGAGAACCAGGCAGATTCTTGGAATAATGTACAGAGTAATGCACTGTGCTTTCCAGAGAGAGAGAAATAGAGCAAGTGAGCAAGAAAGAGAAAGAGAGAGAGAGAGAAAGAGAGAAAGAGAGAGAGAAGAGGGAGAACTTAAGCTTTGTGATGGTATTCTAAGTTTGAGATTAAAACATGCAAACAGTTGGATAGAATGGTGTCTATAATACCAGAACTCAGAAGGCTGAGGCTTAAGGATTTCAAGTTCAAGGCCAGCCTGGGCCACGTGGCAAGACTACATTTCAGCAAACAAGCAAACTAAAACAATATAAACAAATAGACAAAACGCCAGTCCCACCAAAAACCAAAATAAATACATACATAAAACCCCAAACACCAGTCACAGAAAAGTGTGCAAACACTCAGGGAAAGAGTCAGAGGTTTCTCCAGCTAGGGTTCACCTTGTTCTTCCTCTCAGCCCTGGCCACACTGCGCGGGGCCTGCTTCCCCTCCCATTTCATGGTGGCAGTGGTGGGCCTGGGCTCTGCCGGCCAGCCGTGAGCACAGAGCTACACCCGCTGCATCTGCAGACGTGGGTCTGCGCCCGTGTTGGGGTTGGCAGCGTGCGTGTTTTCCATTTTCAGACAAGCATTGTTCTTTGAAAATTCTATGAATACCTAACATTGGCCAAGCCCCAACCACGGTTGCTTTTAATTCTTACAGGCAGTGTGTTGCTCAAACATGCCTTGTTTTCTGAATGGGGACAGAGACAAAATGACGGTCCTGCCCCAGCGAGCGCATGTCTCTGGAGAGAGAGGGAGGGATGGCTTGGGAGCCGCCCAGGCTGTAAAGGCCCTGCCCTTCTTCAGAGCACGGGTCTGGCCAGTCCTCCTGGCACGGGTCCCCGGCGGTGCCAGCAGCAGCTGGGCGCAGGCCCCTGCAAGCGTCCAGGCTCTCTGACACAGGTGTTCCGTGCCAATAGCGACTTCAGCTGCTGGTTGGGCTCTTTTGTGGGATTGACTCCCACAAGGGATCCTGGGCCTCCCCAGCATTCTCCATCTGAAGCCTCATCGTAGCCCCCTATCTGTCTGTGTCTTCAAGACAGCTCGGGGGAATGGAAGGGTGCCTTTAGCTGAGCGTTTCCAGGTGGTCTGTCTTGTTGCTAGTTCTGTATGACTGCCCGGCCTGATTGTGCTCTTCTGAGCTAAGAAGGCTGTTAGCTAGAGGCTGCTGGAGACTGCTCTACCTGCAGCCTGAAAGACGTGGTGCCCTTCCCTTGTTCCTGGAGGAGAGCATGAGGGTTTCGAGTTAAAAACAGTTCTCTTTCCTTCTCTTTCGTTTCAAGGAGCCTCCTCCACCCATGCTCGTGAGAGGGGAGAACAGCACAGCAAAAGGCAACAGACCCGTGGCCTCCACCCCCGTGCCTGGATCTCCCTGGTAAGAGGAACGGAGGCCGCATTCTCTTATCCTAGCCTCTGGCGGAAGTCACGTGTGCCTTAGTATGTTGTGCTTTAAAAAATGAATTTGCAGCTCGCGGCAGGTATAATTCTACACAGATGTCACGTTCTGCAGGAAGAAAAATGGCACTTAAGTGGTAAGTTCTCCTGCTCTGATAGATTTGTGAGTCTGCATTAAAATAGTAATGCTGTTGCATATATATCAGAGGGAGACAATGGCTCCAAGTAAATGTAGCATGCCATGCACTTCAAAGGATTGTCTTCCTCTCCTCCAAGCAAAAAGCCAAAGGGAATGGCTGTTAATTAAAGCTGTGTCTGGCTGTCTGCGGTCGCCCCATGTGGGTTCCCCATCTTTGAGTCTGCTGTGCTCCAAAACACCCTCCACGAGGGAGCCACAGTCCTCGGTTTTCAGAAATGCCCTTTTCTAATGGTGTCATTGGGAACCAGGAGAAAAAGGTTATTACTGTAAAAATTAGTTTTAACACCTGAAGATTAGAGTTCAGAATGCAGCCGGGGGAACAGCTGCTCTCAGGAGCAGGAAGAAAGGTCACTGGCTTCGCCGCAGCACGCCCTCCAGCGGAGGGAGGCCTCATGACGGTCCCAGCCTCACTTCTGCCCGTGGCCTAGCGAAGCCTCCTGTGGCTGGGCACCCTGTCCGCTGTGACGCAGCCACGCTCCTCTCTTCCTGCAGACGGCCCCGGTCGGGCCTCCAGCACTGGCTGTCTTTGGCTGACATGGTCCAGCCTGGGGAGCCGCTTCCCGCCTGCAGGCCCAGAAGTTCTGGGTGTCTGGGCTGAGTTCAGTGTTGACGTCAGCCCCCGGGGGATTGGACTTGGCATCCTTTAGCCTGGCTAAAGGCTCGGTCTCATGGGACTACTGGCAGGCAGGTGCCACCCCAAATGGGGTCCCGGGAGGCCATCTGCATTCTGTACCACCCTTTCCCCATGCAGGGGCCCTCCCTGCCTCCCCTCCACATCCACGATCATGTTCTAGAATGACTCATAGGACCCAAGAAAGTCCTTCAGCTTGGATTCTATATTATTTTCCCTAATGCTAATGACTAGGAGCAGTCTGTGGAAGTCTGCCTGGGGCCTGGCCCCCAGAGGGGCCGGAAGTGTCCAGCCCTAGCTGGACATGCTCCCCACTGGACTAGCTCCAACACGCTCTCCACCTCTGTTTCTGCGGAGATGTCGCACACTGGGTAAACAACTGAACCCCTGAGCTACCTCCAGCCTCTCCTTCCCTGGGAGGCTGGGGCAGGGCAGAAAGCACCTACCACCTGGCCCCCTGGCCCACCCCATCTTGAGCTAGCCGAGCCTTCATGCGCATCACCAGCAGGACCTGGGTGTGGTCAGAAGGGCTTGGCAGAGGTGCCAAAGAGCATTTGTCCCATTCTGCAGTCCCTCGAGTCTTGTGAGCTCTGTGCCTGCACCTAGGAGAAACCGTTGGTGTGTAAGTTTTTGTTTTGCCTCAGATGCTGTTAGGAATGGTGGAAGGCCAAGCTCTCTGTGTGCGTCCAAGGCGGGCCCCTGAAGTCATTCATTGTGGGGACAGGGATCGTCCCCGGTCCAGGAAACAGTCACGTGCAGGTGGTGCAGTTTTCTCGGGGTGGAAGACTCTCTGAACACATAGGGCAGGAGGTGGTGTGGGTGGGAGGAGATGGCAGCTAGGCTCAGCCGGTTCCCAGGGGAACGGCTGAGATGGAGAAGCAGTAAGTACGGACAGGCTCGGAACTGAAGGGAGGAGGCAGAGTTGCAAAGGCCCCACAGGGTCAGAAACACCCTGGCATTGGCCCCTCCAGGCAGCGCACCCAGCCCTCTTCCCCTAGACTCACAGGCCCAGTGGAGAAAGGGGCTCTCTGGCAGAGTCCCACTGGAGCAGGAGATGTGTTATACATGTCTGCCGGCGTGCAGAGGCGACATTCTGTAAGAGCACTTTTGAGTGAGAACCAGATCTCCTTGCTAGGACCTCTGCAGCATCACAGAGGAGATGAGGGTGTTTCTAATGTTTCCCTTGAGTGCTCCATGTTGTGTGCTTCTAACCTCGGTTCCCCTTGAGCCGCATGTCAGCGCAGGATATGCATGCTGGAAGACCTCCCCCTCCCCCAAGGCTGGACAGGGGCACCTGAAATTTCAGCTGCAGGATGGAGGGACCTGTTTACTGCAGGGTGAGGGGTGGCTGCTGGGTGCTGCTTCTCCTGCCCTCCTCCAGAGTCTTAGCCCCACACGCATGGAATCCTGGGGCTCAGACTCTCTCCTGACCCTGCCAGGAACTGGGCCAGGACCAGAGCTCATCAGCCACCGAGGGGAGTGGAGGCCGCCGCCTCTCTGACTAGCTCAGCTCACCACCACCATCCCATCAGGCGCTCCCGAACCCCCAGCGGCAGCTTCATCTTCTACCTTCCTCTTGGTGGCCCATCTAGAAATGCCCCTGATACCTAGGGACCCTTACCTGGTCTCCTTGTCACCTGAGCACCGGCCCCACTTGGCAGGGCCGGTGGGAGGGTACAGGAGGTCTGCTCAGGTTAGATCCGAGCGAGGACTGTCTGCTGGCAGAACTGAGACCACAGACAGAATTCTTGTATGGAAACTTGGCTGCTAGAAGGTTCCGTGTAGGTGGCACTAATGCAGCCTCTGAACAGAACACTGTCAGCTCACAAAGCTGGCCGAGCACAGCTGGAATCACAACAATGAGGAGGGAAATTCTGGAAACTAGTCAAAGCACATAACATGAATCCAATTGTTTTTACCCTTGGTTGATGTTTCATTGCAGTTGCATTGCTAATCAAATTGAAGCTGGGTAATGGGGTGTTTGAGAAGACAGAAGGGTAAATAAGACCCTAAACCTGCAGCAGAAGGAAACTCATGCACACACACACACACACACACACACACACACACACACACACACACACAAAACACTTTGGAAGGTGAAAACACCTAGTAGTTTTCTGATTTGCATCTGCTATGGAAACCACCCCAGGAAGCAGGCAGGCTGCGGCCATGTGCTTAGAAGTAGGAGAGGAGAAGGGGTGGGGCCCTGGTCACTCTGTCTGCTGCACCCCTACTGAGGTCACATGCCCAACACAGTGGCAGCATCCCCAGTCACCCCTATCTGGTCTCATTGCCAAGAAAGACAGCCAGATGCCTGGCCTCCTCGGCATAGCTGGGCAGCAGGAGCCCCTGTCTGGGCCCAGGAAAGAAGAAAGCGCCAGCTCACCAGCGTGTCTCACTGCTGGTGCCAGTTTAACCATTAGAAATGGGTTCGGTGTCCAGCCAGCTCTGCAATTTCAAAACACACTTAGCCTCATTCTGTTGGATGAATTCCAGGATACCAGGATTGAGATACAACCGTTGAAGAAGAGGCGGAAGGAGAGACGTCCAGGCCTCCTTCCGGGCAGGGTGAGCAGGGCGAGGCCCCGTCCGCCTCCAGGGGACGTGGCTGAGCTTGTGTGGGGATGAAAGCTGCGATGGATCTGAATTTCCTTCTCAGATCTGCTCTTGGCTTTGGTTGGCACTAGGCTTCACTCTCTCAGTGACTCTCTCTGCCATTCTCTTCTCTCTGTAATTTGGCATTTGACCCAAATGATACTTTGAAAGGATTAAACAGTCTCTTGGTGGGAAGTAATTAAAATGATTTTCGTGGGAGTATTGATGACATGGGAAAATTTCAAAGGTAATTATTAAACAAAGTGTAAAATCCATGACCTTTCGGCTTGACAAAAAAAATGCCAACATCAATGACTTATTAGCATTTTAGATGATCTAAACAGATTATGAATTGATAAGTAACTGGATGCTTCCATGGAATTTTGTTTTACAAATGTCCGTTGAACAGTGGCCTTGGCATCCTGTCTTCAAAGACTCCCAATTACAGAAAGTGAGCCTTCCATTAGCCATCTAGTAACGCCTTGTGAAGTAACTGGGAGAGAGCTGCATGCTTTCAGAGAAACAGCAGCACGGCATGTGGCTTTCAAAGGGCATTCGCGTTCCCTCAGCAGGGGCCACCTCCTGGCCAAGACATTCTTGTCCTAAGAAGCAGAGCTAATAGGCAGGAGATTTGTGTGTGTTCCTGTGGTGTGGATGCCGGGTGTCCTCGCCAGAGGCCAGTGACTTAGTTCATACTTCTGTGGTGGGGGCAGGAAAGGCACAGAGAGGCACAGACCACTGGGAAAGCTGAGTCAGTGCCCCACAGCACCTGTGCCATGTTCCGTGTCCCAGGAACACTCCTTCGTCCCCTTTGTTTTATGTTCACAGCACAGCTTTAAGTCTGACTTTATTGAATATACCATTAGGTGCTAAAGATGTCTGTCAGTTAATGTGTAACAACTAGCCTATCAGGTTTGAGACTTTTAAAATAGATTCTCTGGATTTTTTAAAGCAATGTTGACTCTGTTTGACTTGAAAACATTGAATGTGAGAACATCTCTTTCCTGAAGTTGATTGGGGGAGGGGGAAGTAAATGCGTGGCATCTAAGGGGAAAGGTGACAGGCCTATGGCTGTTAGGAGAGATGCAGGCTCCGCCCACAAGCACGCATCCCTTGTCCTCACAGAGGAACTTGGCACTCGCTGACACTTGCCCTGACTTAGAGACAGCTTCAGGACACTCTTCCCGAGTACATACCACTGAGGGGAAACCAAATGTCACTTTGTCCCCTTTGCATAATTGAATCTTTTATTATGTCGGGGAAGGGACAGGAGGGGCACCCCTGCCAGGGAGGGGAGAGGAATACTGGATTAAATGTCAGCATGCTCAGTTACCTCGGGCAGCTGGGGGAGGGACCACCGTTCAGACCCATGCGTAGGAGATCTCTGGGGGTGGCAGCCAAGGGTGGGCAGAGAGAGGAGCATATGACTCCCACTCCCTTCCGCAGTCTCCAGGAAACTGCTCCAATCCCCACACGGTACAAGCCCTGGAAGACCACTGGACGCAGGCAGTTCCCGGTCATTCTGCCTGTCCGAGACAGAGTAGGGGAAAGAAAAGCTGGGTGAACAAAAAGCTGTGGGGATGAAAATTCAGAGGAATGAGGGGCATGGAACATCAAGGGGCCAGAAAGTCAAGATGGCACTGCTGGGGCTTGTGGTTTGTGGAGAGCCAGTGAAGCCGGAGCAGCCTAACATCTGATGGATGCATAAGCTCTGGGTCTCCTCGGCCTGCTGGCCAAGCACACCTGACAGGACCCTCAGTTCTACCCGGGCCAGCCCCTCCTAGAGACCAAGCCTTAGGTAGAGAAACACAGTAAATGGCGGGGGTTGCTGCCGGCCTGCTGAGGAGACCCAGTGAGCTGCAGGCTTCACGCAGAAGACGGGCCCTCCCAGGACAGCGCATGCAAGGTGCTTCCCGGCGATTGGAGGTGGGGCGGGGGAGGCCAGGTGGGAGCTCTCCCTCCCAGTGAGCTAAGATGAATCTTGAGAGAAGCTAAGTCTCTTGTAGCCTTCAGAGCTCAAGAACAGGGAATTTGTGGTTGGAGGGTGAGTGTGATGCTCTCTTCTACCACAAAGCAACTCAGTAACTGACTCACTGTTCATTAGCTCCAATCCAGGTCTTCCTGTATTAGGGCAGCTCAGTGTGGATATCCTGTACCACACTTAAATAACTCTGACAAACTAATTACCTCCTCAGGGAAATGGGGACATTTAGAGAGAAGAGGGGTATGGAGGCCATCCAGGAATTATGTGGCATGATTTAAAAAAAGGAAGCTATCTCTGTTACTTAAAACAGGCATAAAATGATACATAAAATTAATTTTGCATGTTATAGCTGGCTCCGTCTAGTTGAAACCAACCGTAACAAGTGGATGGGCAGATTTCTCCTGGGAGCCACATTTATTTACCTGCCACCGGCCCTGTGGTTTAATTCCACACGTATCCCCTGGGCACAGGAACTGGCTTTTTGTAGCCTGGATATAAATGTGCATGGTGCTAACTCTCATTTCCTCTCTCCGGCACTAATGCCCGATTAAGCCCCTAATTAGCTACACTCCTCCCTGGGTTTAGAAGTTGGGCCTTGGTGATGTATGCTCAGCTTTGCAATGACAGGCTATGAGAATCTCTGCACCCAAGGACCTAGAGTTAGGGGGGTGATGCTTCCCGAGCACTGAGTTTACAACAGACACTGATGACGACCTGGGAGAATTTGGCCAAATGAACATGTGTCCAGATGGAAGGTTCTTTTTTGTAAACTAGACTTTTTGTGTGTTTGTTGTTTGTTTGTTTTGGTACTGGGGAACACATCTAGGACTTGCACTTGCCAGGCAAGAGCTTTGCCATGGAGCTACATCCCAGCTCATAAACCTTATTTCTTAATGAGCAGCAATGTTCAGGATCGGGGGGTGGGGGTGCTTGGTGAGAACAGGAACAGGTCCTATCATCAGAGGGCTTTGGAATCATCACCTCCAGGTCCTCCTGGAGGGTTAGGGTCCCCTGTGGTCCCGTCCAGAAGCCAGGGTCTCTGGGGACCCTCCTCCAGAGGGGCCCCATGCCCAGGATCTGCCTCACACGGTTCATCCTAGGAGAGTCTCAGAGCCTGATTTATTGGCACACCTTCACCGACAGGGCCATCTGACGCTCCTTTCCACCTGGTCAGGCCCACCCAGCCTCCTGTTTAGACCCTAGGATGTGCCCTCAGATGAGTACCCATTTGACAGGAGAGCTGTAGTGGCGGCCTGGCATCCACATCTAGCATCCATTGTTCCTGAATTCTCACTGTGCATCTTAGGATTTTGGCCCATCTCAAACTAGAGCAGCCCGTCATCTTCACTTGCCTGTCCTCCTGAGCTTCCTGTTCCCCTGGCCCTCAGCTTCCTGTTCCTCTGGCCCTCAGCTTCCTGTTCCTCTGGTCCTCAGCTTCCTGTTCCTCTGGTCCTCAGCTTCCTGTTCCTCTGGTCCTCAGCTTCCTGTTCCTCTGGTCCTCAGCTTCCTGTTCCTCTGGTTCTCAGCTTCCTGTTCTCCCTAGTCCTCAGCTTCCTGTTCCTCTGGTTCTCAGCTTCCTGTTCCTCTGGTCCTCAGCTTCCTCTTACCCTAGTCCTCAGCTTCCTGTTCCTCTGGTTCTCAGCTTCTTGTGAGTTAATCAGGCCCCTCCAAAAGAAGAGGAAGGAAGGGGACCAGGGAGGGGCTCAGAGAAAGCAGGTACCTCCATTGGAACCTGGCAGGCTTTAGTCCGAGGTTTATCTCATTTGTTTGTGTCCTTTTTACCCTCTTCAAGTAGATGGGCCTGTGGGATCCCAGAGCAGCCAGCTCCCAGGGGTCTTGGGGGAGGCCTTCCTGCCAGCTCAAGTGCCCATCTGCAGAGGAGAGACGAACAGTGCCCACAACTGAGATCCCAGCACCAAAATGAACACAAAGGAGAGACGAGGGTTAGAGTTAAGGTTGGGGGGACTGGTCCATAAGCCTCTACAGATGGAGACATGGCTGTGGGTCCATTCTCAAGGGCATTGGAAAGAAAGAAGCAAAGCCCACTGACAGAGGCTCACAGGCTGGGGTGCATTGCCTGGGTCTCAGGTGACCCCTCCCCCCTCTCAGGACCACGGTGCCTGTCCTGCCTGTCTGCGGTGTCTGGGCACCAGGAAGCTGCCCCTGCTTCTCCTGGGGAGACTCTGGCCTCCACACAACAGCTCCCAAGTCTTTAATGGACAGACAGAGTTGCAGCAAACAAGAAATGCTCCGGGATTTCCCACTGGGGCAAGAGATGTCCCCAAATGCTCGGTCTCAGCTAGATGTTTGTTAATGGAGGTCTGTGCCAGGAGGGCATCAGCCTGGGTGGCCCTGTTAACCTGCTTGGCGTTTCCAAACTCTAGTGTCCTTGCTGGTAAACAGCAGGCTGCAGATGTCCACCTGCCAGTCAAATGAGAGGCAGGGTAAGAATGGCCATTAACCATGCCAGAGGGCAGGCAGATTGCTCCTGCTGTGCACAGTGCCCTTCACAGCCTGGACAGTTCTGTTCTGGAGGACATGTCCAGTGAGGGACATGCCTGAATGCTTTCAAACCCAGTATCTTCACGAGAGACTGAAGTGGGTTCTCTACCCCCAACAGGTGTGTGGTCTGGACGGGCGATGACCGGGTGTTCTTCTTCAATCCCACCATGCAGCTGTCCGTCTGGGAGAAGCCTGTGGACCTGAAGAACCGCGGTGACCTCAAGAGGATCATCGAGGACCCGCCCCACAAGCGCAAGCTGAAGGCCTCAGCAAGTAAGGAGGGCGTCTGGAACCTCCATCTTTACCAGTTCTTGTTCTGTTTCTAGAGGGAAGAGATGGTGGAGAAGGCTTGTGGAGCTGTGCTTGTGGCTGCTAAGTTTGGTAGCATGTTGTACTAAAACCGACCCTGGCACGCGGTGTGCTCAGGCACCTGCATCCCGGGAGGCCTTCAGTGCCAGAAAGATGCTCATAGCACAGGCCAGGTGCACTTTCTGGGTCACATGCTGCTGGCGAAGCTTTTGCACCCATTCCAAGTGTCTGCTTATCTCCAGTGGAGACAGCAGGCCTGCATCCGAGGGTGGGCACTGTCCTCTACTCAGCTCTCTCCAGCCCACGACCACATGGGCAGGTGGCTGTGTGGGAGGAGCAAGGGTCTTTCTTAGTGTAGAGCTGGGTGAGGAGACAGCTGCTTGGGCTGGCCCTTGTAAATCTGTGTCACAGAGAGCGGGAGAAGAGTGCTCAGCATTTTCAGAAAGGCTCCTTTCCGATTAGAGCTGATTCATTTTTTATGAGCTGCTTCGTGGGGAAGCCCAACTCTTGGAGGATGTAGATTCAAATAGCAGCATTCCACGGAAGATGTGTGGGACCAGAGCTGTGTGCTACCTTGGGAGCAGAGCCGCACGGCTGAAAGGCCAGCGGTGGACAAGTGAGCTTGACCCTTCCAAAGAGTCTTAGTGTATTTTTTATGTGGTGTTTTCTGGAGTTGGTAATGGTGTCTTTGATTTCACATTCTGTGAGGCTGACACAGGGTGGCATTAGCCTAGACTTGCAGTCATCCTGCGGCATTTAGAAGGTGGTGTTATTAAAGTCTCCTTGGCACTTGTAACAGTGCACAGAGACCTGGAACTGGTTGCTCTTGTGAAGCTGTTAGTCTTTTAAGATTGAAGGATGACGAGTTCAATATGTCTGTTTCGCTTAAGATAATGAGAACATTCTCTAACTTGCTTGGGTCAACTGATACTGTTAAAAAGAAAAATGTTTTAGGTGCATACGGGGCTGTAAGATCTGTATTCCATCCCTATGTGCAGACAGTGGGCTCTGGAGCTGCTGATTTTATTATCTCATTGGTCACTTGGCATCCAATGTGAAAGTGCCACATGAGCGCACCCCTGAGCGTGTGCCACGTGAGCGTATCTGAACGTGTGCCACGTGAGCGTATCTGAGCGTGTGCCACATGAGTGTATCTGAATGTGTGCCACGTGAGCGTATCTGAGCGTGTGCCATGTGAGCGTATCTGAGCGTGTGCCACATGAGTATATCTGAGCATGTGCCACGTGCATGCACCCCTGAGCGTGTGCCATGTGAGCGTATCTGAGTGTGTGCCACGTGAGCTCACCCTGAGTGTGTGCCACGTGAGCGTATCTGAGCGTGTGCCACATGAGCATATCTGAGCATGTGCCACATGAGCGCATTCCCAAGCGTGTGCCACATGAGTGCATCCCTGAGCGTGTGCCACGTGAGCACACCCCTGAGTGTGTGCCACATGAGCGCATCCCTGAGCGTGTGCCAATGAGCACATCCCTGAGCATGTGCCACATGAGCGCATCCGAGTGTGTACCACATGAGCGCATTCCCGAGTGTGTGCCACGTGAGCACATTCCTGAGCGTGTGCCACGTGAGCGCATCCCTGAGTGTGTACCACGTGAACACCTCCCTGAGCATGTGCCACATGAGCACATTCCTGAGCGTGTGCCACATGAGTGCATTCCTGTGTACCATGTGAGCGCACCCCTGAGCATGTACCATGTGAGCACATTCCTGAGCGTGTGCCATGTGAGCGCACCCCTGAGCATGTGCCACATGAGTGCATTCCTGTGTACCACGTGAGTGCACCCCTGAGCGTGTGCCACGTGAGCACATTCCTGAGCATGTGCCACGTGAGCACACCCCTGAGCATGTGCCACATGAGTGCATTCCTGTGTACCACGTGAGTGCACTCCTGAGCATGTGCCACGTGAACACCTCCCTGAGCGTGTGCCACGTGAGCACATTCCTGAGCGTGTGCCACATGAGTGCATTCCTGTGTACCACGTGAGCACACTCCTGAGCGTGTGCCACGTGAACACCTCCCTGAGCGTGTGCCACATGAGTGCACCCCTGAGCGTACCCCAGCAGGCCCTGGGGACCAGGCCTCTGAGCCTCTGGGATATGGTGCAGAAGCTCAAGCTTACAACTGAGATTTGGAGCATCCTGCATGGAAACCAGCCAGGGCAGGAAAGCCGATGAGACTCCATCTCCAAAATAGCTAGCAAAAGGCTAGGCTGTAGTAGTGGCTCAAGTGGTAGGGTGCCAGCCACACAAGCAAACCAAAGGGAGTCAAGGCCCCGACTTCAAATCCTGATACAAGCAAAGAAAAAAATTCCTTCAAGAAACATGACATTCCAGTTGCACTGACAATGATTTTATTTGCTTGATAAAAGACGAACAATGAAGGCCAACCCCTGATCACTGCTTAACTTGTATTCTTTCAGATAATTGAGTGCCATTTTTTTTAATTTCTCAGAAAATTAGTAGGTGTGAGAAAGAATTGGACTTGTTGAGAGTCAAATGCGCAGTTGCTCTCATATTTCTCTCGTTTGGACCGAACCGGGCCAGGTCTGAAGAGAAGCAGGGAGATGTCACCTGCTCTCAGAGCCTGCCCGCTGCAGGTGAGGGAGGGGCCTGGGCTGCTGGACCATAGCCCCGTGCTCCTTTTCACCTGCCACCAGCCGTCCGGTCTCATACTTGACAATATAATTCTTTGCATTCGATAACGCAGAGAATTGAGCCTTGAATATAACCAACACAACCAGAAGTACCCGATTAGCTTCATTTTAACATACCATGGTATGTTGTCTTCTACCAACTTTAGTATGGCTGAACTAATTACTGCACATAGAACTAACATAATTTTTTAAGTGCATGTAATTACAAAACAACTTTACTTTCATTAAAGAGGAGGCAAGATGGTCTCAAGCCAGTTAGGGTTTTTATATGATTCTTAAATATATGCAAATGACCTCAATTTTTGTTTTCTACTTGCTGGGCTAGTATGAGTCTGTCTTTAAGAGCATAACTAATAATTTCCTGAGATCCAACTAAAGAACTTTTACAACCAAATAATTAAGGCAGAAGGTGTTTCTGGAGGCTTAGTGACTGATAAGGAGGCCCAGTCGATGGTCTGTGTCTCTGCCCTCAGTCAGGGCTGTGCTTCTGGGATGCCTTTGGCCATCATTCATCACAGCTTATCAAACGTACTGGGCCTCCTTAACCAAACCGGCTCTGGGGAGGTTGTCTTGGTGGGCAATTATGTTTGGCATTTTGTTCAGCGATCAGCCTTTCTAGAGTGGAACACGTTAATGCCTGTCCCTAGCGTGAGATGTGACAATTAAGCATGCTGGCTTTCACAAGGCAAATGAAAGAAATAGATGTTGTAAGATGGAAGCTCATCTAACTGCTGGTGTCTGTGTGTGTGTGTGTGTGTGTGTGTGTGTGTGTGTGTGTGTGTGTTCTAAGCCATAGCATTCACCAGCGGCTCATAGCATTAGGCAGTTTATGAGGTCCTGTACACAGAACCTCCCGAAGTGCCAAGCTATTTATCACTCAGCAGATAAGGAGGGAGGCTGTTTTTTCATTCTCTTAGCTTTGCTGAAGGGTTCAAGTGAAAGCCTGAATTATTTTCTAATTACCTCGCGATGCATCCAGATTTTTTATGGCCCTCTAGCCTTGCTTTAGTTGACAATAAGTGCTGTTGAACGGATGTGGGGTGAGAAGCACCAGGCTTCACCCTGGGCCCATCCACTACACACGTGATTCCTGGGGATGTTACGACTCAAGTTCAGTGCGTGCTCCGCGGCCTCCACCAGCCTCCACGTTCTCCACGCTGACCCCGGCCTCCACCAGCCTCCACGTTCTCCACACTGACCCCAGCCTCCACCAGCCTCCACACTCTCCACACTGACCCCGGCCTCCACCAGCCTCCACGTTCTCCACGCTGACTCCGGCCTCCACCAGCCTCCACACTCTCCACACTGACCCCGGCCTCCACCAGCCTCCACGTTCTCCACACTGACCCCAGCCTCCACCAGCCTCCACGTTCTCCACGCTGACCCTGGTCTCCACCAGCCTCCACGTTCTCCACGCTGACCCCGGCCTCCACCAGCCTCCACGTTCTCCACGCTGACCCCGGCCTCCACCAGCCTCCACACTCTCCACACTGACCCTGGCCTCCACCAGCCTCCACGTTCTCCACGCTGACCCCGGCCTCCACCAGCCTCCACGTTCTCCATGCTGACCCCGGCCTCCACCAGCCTCCACGTTCTCCACGCTGACTCTTCACTCCACCAGTGGCAGCGAAGCCCAGCCATGCAGGTCTCGAGGAAGTCTCTGGAGGCTGGCCTGGCACCTCTGCTTCATCCTGTGAGCCTACCCGCCCCACTCACAGAGCTGCATTTCTGCCCCTGCACCAGGAGGTTTGGTACAGCCTGGTGAGAAACCTCAGAAGCAATGGGGTATTGGGCCACTGGGATGTTCCTCTGGGTAGAGGAGACATAGGCAATCACAGTACCCCGTCCTCTGTCTCCGGCCTGCCTCCTGCCATTGTTTTCCAGTGTGTGAGAAGGACAGGGCCTGGAGTAGAGAGGAAGAGAGGGCATCCTCTTGGCTAGGCCGGGAAAGGAAATGGCAGCAAGTGGCTTCCTCAAATCTCCCCAAGCCCTGCAGGTGGCTGCTGGGAGCCCTGGGAATCATTTGTCTCTGTAACAAATTACCCAAACAAGAAGTCGAAAACTAGACAAGTGGGACTGCTTTCTGACTCCAGTGTGAGGCTCCTGGGGGAGGGGCGGGAGGCATCTATCACCTGGGGCTCTGGGTGGAGGTTCCCTTCCCTTTCCTCACCTCTTCCAGCTCTTAGAGGAGCCGGGCTGGGCCTGCGGGCCGCCTGCCGTCTTCCAAGCAGCAGGGTAGCATCCAGCAGCTTCTCTAAGCCCAGCCCTCCTTCTCTCGCCTGCCCTTGG